GGCCGCTTCACCGGAAGGATGCTCTGCGCCGGGAGCCTCCACGGACACAGCCGCGTGGACAGCTGCCAGGGGGACAGCGGCGGGCCCCTCGTGTGCGAGCGGCCGGGAGCCGGCTGGGCCGTGTACGGGGTGACCTCCTGGGGCTATGGCTGTGGGGCCAAGGGTTCGCCCGGCGTTTATACCAAAGTTTCAGCCTTTGTACCTTGGATAAAAAGTGTCACCAAACTGTAATTGGTGGAACCCTCAAGGAAATAGTACTTAAAAAACGTGTTGGCAACTTTCAACCTCAGCGTTGGTCCTCAGCCCGAGAGGCCCAACGGGGCCCGAGGTCCCGGTGTGCTGTGATAGGACTGTGTCCCCTCGGCTGCCTGGGAGGACTTGTGGCGTGGACGTTTCTGTAGAACCTCCATGTGGCACTGATTACCCTGAATTGGCATTGCCGCCTCCCAAGCTGGTTCCACTGGGGACTAAGTTTATTCTCATTTGAACCTTACTGAACTCTTTTCTCAGAATCCTGGGTATTACTGTATATACTGATTGTGCAATAACGCTGTTTTTACCTTTATTTGGAGAACTTATAACTGAACCAGTGATATATGGATTCATATTAAGTGCCCATGTTTGACGGAAAAAATACTCATTACCTCACTCAGAGTAAGAGTGCCCTTGTTTCCTGTTTACATACGTTTAAGATAAAGGCTGACAAAGCTTCATGCGTGTGATCTCTGTGGCCTGTCAGGTGAGATAAGGGCTGAGGGAAGGGACCTACTGGATAGGCTGTCACGGCACATGCATGAACATGGCAATCACCAGTGTTCTAGCCACCTTGTATGTAGCTAGGAAAATGTGGAAGAACTCCCGCTAACACAGGAAAGAATGTCTTCAAGTTGTTGGATGCACAACCCAATTTACTCCCCCGATTTGTTAGCACATCTACTCTGGTTACCTTTAACCATGTCACATAATAACTGGTGAATGTTTCTTCCTTAGCAGTTTCCTGCACCACGACCTCAGGTCGTCTGCTGCAGCTTTACCTGTAGATAGCCCAAGACCAGCCTGACGGTCCTGTTTAATACACACTAACAGTGCTCTCCCTGCCTGTGTGGGGAGAGCTCTAAAGCTATTTATCCGGTGTAACGCACCCACTGGTGTGCCCAGGCACCACACTGCTTACAAAAAGCTGGTCAGGGAACGGGCCTGGAATCCAGACAGTTCCAACGCTGACAGTGGCATCGTGCTGTTCTCCTGCCCACAGGGGAGCTCCCTCTGGCTCATTTCCCTAAGTGCTAATGACCAGCTGCCCCTGTAACCTTTCAGGACATTCCCGGTGGCAGTGTGGACTCTGCCCAGGACACTTCAGTGTCCTTCCCAAACCCCAGGTCGTCTAGTTCTCCTCTATCCCAGGAGTAGAGTCATAGAAACGGGCAGGTCAGTGCAAACTTTAGGCTTCAGAATGGTTAAGGCAGTGGTTCTCAACCTTCCTAATGCCACGACCCTTTAATACATTCATGTTGTGGTGACCCCCAATTTCATTGTTACACAGTGATTAACCACAAAAACAGTATGTAATTATGTTTTCCAATGATCTTAGGCGACCCCTGTGAAAGGGTTGTTCGACCCCCAGGTTGAGAACCGCTGGGTTAAATGATCCTTCTAAGGGGGGACCTCTCCCTCCTTCCGCGTCAGATTGTGTCCTGTCTGTAAATCCTGAGCTCAGTAAAACTGGTGCTAACCTCATGGTGCTTTGCTTTATTGCAGAACTGCAATGCTGTATCACGTAGAGCAACATTATCAAAAGCCTGAGCTTTTAGGGGTTAAAGGAACTTTTAAGAGTGGTGTAAAGTTCCCTTCAACCTCCAAGCAAAACTTTTGGTTCAAAACATGCCTTTTTTTCTCATTTGTTGACTGTGTGACCTCTGTTACGATACAAATGTGTAAATAAAGTGCAGCCTTTCACCTTGTGTAGTTGTCTAATTTGTGTGGCGTGACTCCTCCCCTAGAGGCGGTTAGACATGAACAGAGCATGGACGACGGAAGGGACCTACTGGATAGACTGGAGGCAGAAAGCTCCAGATGCCTGGCCAGCATGCTCAGTGGTTGAGCCCAGTCCTATGAACCACTGGGGCACGTGCCAGGGTTGTGGGCTAGTTCCCTGAATCCCTGGTGCAGGAGGCAGCCAACCAATGAAAATATACTTTAAAAAACCTTGGGAAAACAACCTTGTCTCCAGGGTAACCTCCCCTCCCCTAGCATATCACTGGTCATGCAGTTTGGACCCTGACCTTTTTCTCCCCAAAGACAACACCCAGGCCTGTTGTTTCAGCTCCAGGCCCAGAAAAGCAAAACCTGACAGTGGTACACGGCTGCCTCGGGACCCCCTGCCCTGGCACCATCCCATCAGTGATCACACCTGGAAAGCTGATGAATGTTCTATTAATAACCCTCACCTAAGACCTCCACCTCTAAGAGCTAAATAGCTCAGGACAAAGGACCAGTGCCACCCCCCCCCCACCTCTAAGGGTCCCATGAGACTCCACCCAGGGGAGCCATGGGCAGCAGCAGCTCGTCCGGGCTAACCACCGAACCTGCCTCCAAGGCCCCCCTTCTCTGTGTAGCCCTTCCCCCTGAATATCCCCGTTCTCCTTAAGTGAGTTCAATGTTCTCTAATCACTGCCGGAGATGGCTATCTTGGCTTGCCCGCACACCTCGGAATGGAACCTTTCAGGGGCGGCCTGGTTTTCCTGTATCCGCTCCCCCAAATGCTCCCGACAGACAGAGCACCAGCATCTGTAAGCACCTTCCCACCTAGTGACCACCCAGGGCACACGGACCAGCCAGAGGAACCAGCACTTTATTTAATCCGCCAACATCCAGGCATAACCGAAAATACTTCCTGTAGTTCCCAGAACACCGTTTTGTTCTATCACATCACTTCCCAGCCATCCTGGAGCTGCTGACTCGAAATCCCGTTGTCCTGGGCATGCAGGCGGCTCCCGGAGACCTCACTCGTATCAGGGCCTGCAAGGGAAGAAGAGCTTTATAAAATCCCGCCTGCGCCCCTAACTCACTGGGCGGAGGCCGCAGCTGGGCGCTCGGTTACCCCCGACTCATTCCCCTCCCGAGTTACAAACCGCCGGCAGGACGGCCAGTTCCGGCCTCCCGGGTCCTTCGCAGTAACACCGACTCTGAAATACGGACGGAAAGGAACGTACCGACCGTATGCTTCCCATCGCCCACTGCCGCCGTTAGGTCAACCTCGCAGAAACATTTGAAAAATACATCTCCGCGCAGTCACCCCGCACCCCCCGGGCTGCAGACGTGAAGAATGTCACTTGTGCAAGTCAGAATCTGATACCAATTAAATGGTGACAGCTTTGCCAATAAACAAGAGGATGCTCTTCCATGGCTAGGAAGGGAGACTGCCACAGAGACAGGTCCCAAAGACACATGGAGACCCCGCCACCCCGCCCGCGACAGGCCCGCGAGCGGCGCTACTCACCCGCCGGCTGCAGGCG